TCAGCCCTCCAGATGTTTTGAGACTACAATTGCCATCATCCCTGACCACTGGTCCTGCTAGCTAGGGGTCATGGGAGTTGCAGGCCAAAAACATCTGGAGGGCCGAGGTTGAGGAAGCCTGCCCTAAACCCTTCACCTTTTCACAGGACCACCACATGTGATAAAATGACTGAGGCATTTTACATGAATGTAAAAATGTTCCATTTTCAGAATCTCTAAAACAGTGGACTGTTTGGGGTATACGCTACAGCCACCTCCTTGTGAGAGTTACATATACCGTATTTTTTGCTCTATAAGACTCACTTTTTCCCTCCTAAAAAGTAAGGGGAAATGTGTGTGCGTCTTATGGAGCGAATGCAAGCTGCACAGCTATCCCAGAAGCCAGAACAGCAAGAGGGATCACTGCTTTTGCTGCGCAGCGATCTCTCTTGTTCTGGCTTCTGAGATTCAAAATATTTTCTTTCTTGTTTTCCTCCTCCAAAAACTAGGTGCGTCTTATGGTCTGGTGCGTCTTATAGAGCGAAAAATACGGTACATACTTACAGCATACATACAGAGTTACAGTATACATATTTAATTTTCATAAATGGATTACAGTGGTACCTCGGGTTAAGTACTTAATTCGTTCTGGAGGTCCATACTTAACCTGAAACTGTTCTTAACCTGAACCACCACTTTAGCTAATGGGGCCTCCTGCTGCTGCCGCGCCACCAGAGCATGATTTCTGTTCTCAACCTGAAGCAAAGTTCTTAACCTGAAGCACTATTTCTGGGTTAGCGGAGTATGCAACCTGAAGCATATGTAACCTGAAGCGTATGTAACCTGAGGTACCACTGTATCTTGAACTATATGTGTACCAAATTGTCACTGGAAACATGACAATCATTGTGGAGTGCAGGCTGAGTCGTTTATTTCTCAGAAAGATGTACTAATGAATTTTCAGGTGTTTCTGTTACTAAGTTTCAGATCATGTGAAAATACATGGGCAGAGCAATCCTTTGTTGTTGTTGTTGTTGTTGTTTAGTCGTTTAGTCGTGTCCGACTCTTCATGACCCCATGGACCAGAGCACGCCAGGCACTCCTGTCTTCCACTGCCTCCCACAGTTTGGTCAAACTCATGCTGGTAGCTTCGAGAACACTGTCCAACCATCTTGTCCTCTGCCGTCCCCTTCTCCTTGTGCCCTCAATCTTTCCCATCATCAGGGTCTTTTCCAGAGAGTCTTCTCTTCTCATGAGGTGGCCAAAGTATTGGAGCCTTAGCTTCAGGATCTGTCCTTCCAGTGAGCACTCAGGGCTGATTTCCTTAAGAATGGAGAGGTTTGATCTTCTTGCATTCCATGGGACTCTCAAGAGTCTCCTCCAGCACCATAATTCAAAAGCATCAATTCTTCGGCAATCAGCCTTCTTTATGGTCCAGCTCTCACTTCCATACATCACTAGAGCAGTCCTTACTCTTGCCAAAGACTGGGTGAGGAGGGTCAGGATGGGGTGGAAGTGTGGTCATGCCAAGCAGAAGCAGCTTCTCTAGCTGGGTCAGAAATGAACTCACAGAACACTTTCAATAGGGCAACACTGAATTGTACCCATGGTTGTGCTGTTTGTTGCTGCTATTGCAAAAAAGTAGATGTAGACATTTAAAGCTGGTTTGTAATGAATCTGACCTAATGTTGTCTCTTCTGATTGGCAGTAGATTTCAGACAAAGGTCACATTTCATAGAGTCACATGGGATGTGAGCTTAATTGTGCAAATTATGACTGTCTAACCAGCCTTAGGACTGTGGACAGTGAGGAGGGGGAGTTTAGACTTGGCTTTTTCCATGGTGCCAACAAAATCTCTTGTCTTCAGCTGCTGTTTGAATTGCAAGGGACACTTGCTTAAAGGATTAATAGGAGCAGAAGGCTCAGGAGCATGGCACCATTGCAGCATCTGACTGATATATTAAGATTGGAGCACAGAACCAAAGTACATCCCACTAATGAACACTACTGGAATGTGCAGGAGGGATGGGGGAACTGGAGAAATGAGTTATCATGTTATTGGCAGCAGGAATAGCAAGCTGTGTGGTGGGGTACTGCTGCTCATGTCACCTCCAGTCAGTTGTGTTGCTGTTGCTTTCTGGGAGGTAGAGGGGAAAGTGGGACGTGGCGGGGAGGTCAAGGGATGGGGGAGGAGCTGATACAAAAGTGAGTAGGTCCCATTACATACACCTAGCAGACACTTGGTCACACTCAAAGCTATTTTTCATGGAAATAAGAGGAACATATTCAATTCTTAGTAATTCCACTCAGGTTTCACCTTCCATTTTCTCCATAGAGTCCCAGATAGTTGGGTGAATTGTGGTATGGGCCTGAGGGCAGTGGATTTCCATAGGTTAAATGAAGATTGGGTCATATATGGCTTTAGCAAGCATGAACCTTTAAAAGTCAAAGGCTCTGGCTGCTGTAAGCCAACTCTGATTTGTATTACTGGCACCAATCACAAATTCTTAATGAATCTGTCAAATATTCTGTATGCATCTCTAACTTTAACTAAACTTTCAAGCTACGGAAGACCTGTGCAACATTCATTTGGGTTGTTACACTTCAATAACACACTTTGCTCTTTATGCTGTGTATCACCTGATAAGTGAAGGGCACTCTTTATAGAATGTCTTTGCTCCAAGCTACCCATTCACTCACTGCCTGGCTTTCAACATAGTCAAGAGCAAGGACTTCACAGACAACATGTGTGATCTAACTTTATACCTGCAGGGATGAATAGAAGAGAATAGGTTATGCACTAATGATTCTTATTTTTAATATTTGAAGAAGACCGTGAACCTATACATGCTCAGTTAAATATTTTATTTTATGTTGTACAGACCTTAGGTAACTGACTTGTATGTTTTTGTATTTCAAACTAATCCTCTATATCATTCCCAGTTATGAACAGCAGTCAGAATTCCATCCAGTTTCCACCCTTATATTTTAAGTTTTCATAGCCTTGGACATTTCACAGATGAAGAAGGCTCTTCTCACTGCATGAAGATACAGAAACAAATATGGGTTTAGGTTTAAGTTTGAGACAGGAACAGCCTTGGTCACATTTATTGATGACCTACACTAGGAAGTAGACAGGAAAGCAAAAATCAGTACCCCCAGCCATGAGATCCTTCTGGGGTATTTGGCTAGTTTGGAACCTGGGGGCACAGTTTTGTAGTGGTTTTGATTCTACCTGTTTAATGTACCTAGAAAGTAGTGCTGGGTGAGTAATGTTCAGCCCCTTGGTTTTCTTAAGGGCTCTGTTTTGTCTTCTATTCATTTTTGCACCTACATGGAAGGAATTGTCTAGACATTAGGGATTGGGTTTCTTGAGCACTGATCTCCACAGTGGCAAAGCAAGTCTAGCCTCAGCCCTGCAACCTCTAGTCCCATTAAAATGGGGGTTGCTGGTTCTCACTGACCAGAGTCTGGGCACTGACAAAATGTCTACAATACAGGCAGAAGTTCAACTTGCATCAGCAGTCTTTCCGTAGGGAACAGCTGGGACAGAACTCCACGCAGCTGCACTGGCTCAGGGTCTCTGACAGAGCTATCAGTAGGCATTTTGCTTGGAGTCCTGGTATTGGGTTTTAACAGTGTCCCCTTTCATGGATTCCAGATGCCTCTCAATGCAGAGGAACTGATTAATCAGTTCAGTCCAAATAAACTTTGCTGGGATTCCAGGACCTCCTTGGAATTGATCCATGAGGGTTGCATGCAGCCAGTGCAGTCAGAATGCACTGGCACAATCAGACATAGTTCTTTTTGCCTGGCATAAACATGAAATTCTATTATAGTTTACTTTTGAGCTATTATATTTTATATGTTTTTTAGCTTTCTGTGTTTTATCCACATTTGTTTTAATTTTTATGAGCTGCCTTGAGTCTTATTTCTGGGGGAAGGTGTGATGCAAATAAAGAACATCAGCAACTGAAGTTTGATAGCAGTCATCCCTGCTTTCTCTCAGATGCCTTTTAGAAATAGTATTGTTCAGACAGCCTGTCCTGCACACACCCAGCCAAGGAAGGCAAACAATTGATAGTTCATTCTTTAGGGACAAAAGCACACACAGCAGCTCTTAAGGTGTACTGGACATACTAGATGTACTACGTAGATGTCGAGGAAGTAGAAACAACAGTGGGACTGTGTCACCACCCCTCCCAGGCTTATGTACTCTTGTCTGATGGAGTGTGCAAGTGCAACCTGAGACTTCTCATGCATGGAAGTCGTCCCTGTTGTTCCATCTTCTAGCCCCTCCTGGATCTAGGAGACAGTAGGGCAGGGGATGGTGGGGATTCAACCGGCCTGCCCCTCATCTGAACAGCCTCTTCCTCTACTCCCCATACATCCTGCACCTCTGTCTCTGACACCAAGCCCCATAAATCACTGCCCTCCTCTCTGGGTCAATCTCTGGGCACCTTGCCTCTGTCACACACTTGTCAGAGCCCTGCCATTCCCTGACATAGGGCTTTGGAATCTTATTTATTTAGTTATGACCAAGCAGTCTTCATTCATACATTATAGATGGTTTTTACTGCTATTGTTGTGGTTTTATGTTGCACACTGCCTTGTTAAACTTCCTATGAAAGTGTGGTGTATAAATATGAATACATTAATGCATACATGATTTGGGGCCCAGCATTTTACCTGTACGCTAAGCCACTCAAAGTGTGGCTGTTTGACTGCAGGGAACTTGTTTTAATGTGAGAAAAAGCACCCTGTTACCTATCGCTGAAGACTCTTTCGCCTGCAGTATCTTTACTCTTCACATGACTGAGGGCTGCAAAGAACTCCTCTTCATCTTCAATGGACTTCCAGAGAAGAACTTCTCAGTGAATTATGCACTCAGGAAAATGAACAAGTTGTCGACTGCAAGGAAAACATTGGGGCCTAATTTGAATAGTAGAATGTCTGGCATCTGGTGGGCGGGGCTTGTGCATTCTGCTCCGGAATTGGCCCCTCCCTTCAGTGTGTGTTCAGTTCAGTTCAATTAGAGAAGCCAACTGTCACTCTTGCCTCACGATGTTGTTTCAGTTTCTCTCAGACAGTATGTTATTGTGTTACAGTTTTCTTTATTATTGAAGATTTGTTTGACATATACGTGAGCCGCTAACTTTGCTGAAAGGAAAAGAAACCCCGCTGAAGAACAGTGGAATATCCTAAACTGGGTGAGTTAGGGGATATTCCCAGTCTGACAGGAGGATTGGGTTTTTTAATCAGGAAAGAGAAAAACAAGTTGTTGGCCTGCTTAAATCTCCATGTTCATCTTTTATTTAGGTCAAATGAAAGATCAAATATTCAAAATGAATTTAAACTATATTAGAGGTTTGAGTTCTGATCACTGAAATATATCTAGCATGGCACACAGCGTGCTGCCAACTTTGGTCAGGCCGACAAGGTCTAATAGTCCTTAGATCTTGCATATGCCATAGATTCGTTCTGAAGCTGAAGAAAGCAACATAATTAGATGGCCTGATGGGTACAGATCTGTGTGCCTTCCTGAGGGAAGAAATAAGGCCATTGGGTCGAAATCTGGATGAAAAGTAACCAGGAAAAGCTAAAACTGGTTATAATGTTTCTGCAGAGCGGGGGCAGTGAATGTGTTTCCCCCCTACCATTCAAATATAATATCTGGACGTATTTGAATGACTATTTCATTTATATATTGAGCCCATCTCTACTGTCTACACTATCTGCAAGGACAATTATATAATTCTGTTCCAATGGCTACTACTGGATTTTTGTAGTTTAGCATTTCAAGACAGCAGTAAAAACATGAGTACAAAAGTTCTGAGCCCATATATAGTATACCTTCCCCCCCTCATAATGGGAGAGATAGGGTATTGCAGAGCTAAGTATATACCATGTGTTGTTGTTGCAGCTGCTGCTATTACTTTTAATTTATGTATCACCTTTCACAAGAGTCTCAAGCACACCATAAAAGCAATTAAAATAGTTTTAAAAGCAAAACAAAAAAACACACCAAAGGTAGGTTTAAAACCAATAGACAATGAACACCTAAGGCTGAAATCTTTTCATCCAGCTGGAAAAGCTTGTTGTAACAAAAATGTTTTTGGGAAGTACAAATATTGGCCACCCGCTGAATCTCATCAGGGATATTTTCCTACAAAACAGGGGCAGCCACAAACAGAAAGCCCTGCTTCAAGGTACGTAATGTTGAGAGGACTTTTGATGTTTTAGGTAATTCAAGGAGAATCCCTCCTGTAGAACACAGTTACCTACCAGTTAGCTGTGGGATAAGGTAGTCTCTCAGATAACCTGAGCTGTATAGGAACTTATATGTTAGCACCAAAAGCTTGAACCTGGCCTGATAACCGATTGATAGCTAATGCAAATCCCACAGACAAGGTGCAATATTCTGGCAGTCGTTTTCCCCAACAAACCACTGCATTCTGCATAAGCTGCAGCCTCTGGATCAATCACAAGAGTAGCCCTACATAGAACACACTGTAGTAATCCAACTTGGAAGTTACCAGTGCATCGACAATTATGGTAAAGCTATAGCAATCCAGGCATCAAATTCTTGCAATATCAGCAAGGCAAAGGAGATGGTGTTGGACATTCAGAGGAAGAGAGGGGAACTAGCCCCATTGTATATCGGGGGGCTGTATGGAGACAGTCTCTTCCTTTAAATTCCTGGGAGTCTACCTTTGTGAAGACCTCACTTGGAAATTCAATACAACCCAAGCGGTTAGGAAGGCCCAACAGAGACTTGAGAAAGACTTGAGAAAGAACAATGTCAAACAAAAATTGATTATCTCCTTCTAGCGGGCCACAATAGAAAGTGTTCTCTCATACTGTATTACAGTGTGGTACGCTGGTTTGACAGCCACGGACAGGAAGTCCCTACAGAGGGTGGCGAATACAGCACATGACATCATGGGCTGTCCCCGGAGTTTGCTAGATGACATCGCGGGAGACCACTGCCTCAGGAGAGTGAGGAAAATTCTTAGGGACGACTCACCCCCTGGCCAGCACTTCTTAATTTCCTACCTTCAGGCAGGAAATGCAGAAGTATAGTCAGCCGCACAAACATTTTTTATTCATGGGCTGTTGGGCTGCTGAATGGAAAAAAATAGTGGTGTAATTGACTTCTGACAAGCACACAGAGCGCGAACAAGACTGAATGTATAGGGGGGGGGCTTGTTTAATTTCACTGCACACAGGTGGTGTAGTGACAATAAAGGTTTTTTATTATTTTATTATTATTACTGTTGCAATCTTCTTATAATGTCTAGCTTGAATAGAAATGGGCAGTTTAGAGTTTAAAAAGCAAGTCTTGGCTGACCCTGAGAAACAGCCTGGTGATCTGACCTTCTTGGAAATGACCCATAAGTTGACTTTACAGGATGGGACTGCAGCCTCTGGGCACCTAGCTGAAATCTTCTGTCTCCTTGTTACTCTTATTTAAACAGGTAGTCTCATGGGGGCCACCATAGCATATAGTCTTGCTGCTCTTCCCCAAGGTGCATTAGGCCTGATGGTCTAAGCCAACTGCTAAGAACAGCAGCGAGTGGAGATGGCAGTTCCTTACTGCCTGCTGCTTGTACAATTTGGCAACAGTGCATCATTGCCAGTGTTGATGGGCCCTTCATGTGTGAGGCCCTGGAGAAATTGCCCCTTGGGGCCCCCTAAAAAAGCCCTGGTTCCAGCACATGTCAGTTTCATTGAGATTTTTCTACAAGATGATCATTTTTGTCCAACAACTGAGAGTATATATATATATTTTTAAGAGGAATACATATGAAGTGTGTTTAGGAAGAGAAATAGGATGAAACCACCCTCAGGTATTAATCCATCTTGCTCACTCCTCCCTCACTCCTTGCTACATTAATCAATTTTATTTGCATAAAATGGATTGGTTGATTCAGATTCTGGAAAATCCTCTATTTGATGTGCCTTCATCTGCATGAGCAAAATTTGCATGTGCATGTTAGCACATTTTCCTGCCATCACATTCATATAAATCCCCACCTGGAAGCGGTGCCTGCCCCACCAGATGAGATTTTACTTCCTCCATGCAGCAACATCTACAGGGAAGATTTTTTTAAAAAAATAAAAAATAAAAAATCTGATTGATCTCTAGAAATAGGCAATGAATTCCAATAGTGTTTTCACCAGTGAGAAAAAGAACTGTCTTGGCATGCTAGGGTACCCTAATGAGGAGCTTGTGTATGATCACAGATGTCACCATGTGTGCTGGTCACAATTATCTCCAGAGATCTTTAATAATATATCTTCTGCTTCCAATGCTTCTTTCTTACTATATTCAGAACTGCTACCAGTTTGAAACCCAGTTCAATCTGACAGTTGGATACCAGAAGCTATAAAATTTTTAGGAGTTGTGCAAGTTATTTAGTTAACTGTTAATATTTTCCTATTAGTGACCCCTGATGCTTGGCATTATTTAGGAAAAAATGTGTTGAGGCCAATAGTTTGGAGATGCCTGTGACATAGCTGCTATCTGCATCCAGTTAGACATCATATTGCTATCCAGTATGCTCAAATATTCCATTGCGCAGCAATAAAAAACTTGAGTGTCGTTAATACTCTATCAAACCTCCAGTGCAAGACTAATAATATATAATGAGATTTGGTGTATTAGCAGCTGTTATGTCATTACAGTTTGCTAATGCAGTTTGAGTATGGTCAAATAGGTTTGGGCTTATCTCACAGGTAAAGCTAGAGACATAGAAGGATAACCTAGTACAGGGGTCATCAACATCATGCCTTTCTAGTAGTGGTAAACAACAACTCCCATTATTCCACACTGGCTGAGGCTGATAAGGGCTACAGTCCAACAAAATTTGGTGTGTTCCACCCTGACACCCTTTAATCTAGTGCAACACTCCACCAGGTTAGAGAAGGCTGGTTTAATGAAAACTTTCCCCTCCTAAGGCAAATTATCATAGAAGCCATATTAAAGAATATTCCTATTGCCAATATGTCCACACACACAAACACATGGCCCTATGCCTACCAAGCACACATGCCATCCCAAATGCAATTCTCAAGTCTTACAGCTGCGGAGATGGAGTGGCTAGCAAGCTGGACAAGGATCCCACTCCCCATTCACCCATGAAACTCACTGGGTGCTTTTGTGCCAGACACTCACCGCATCTGCACCATACATTTAAAGCACATCAACTATAAAATGAGGAAAACATTGTTGGGTTTCAGCAATGTTGCATGCCTCCAGTCAGTAGAGGGCAGGGTTGGCACGAACACATAGTCCGGAGAAAATTCTCTTTGTGATGTTTCCAGTCAAACTCCCAAGCGCCCCCCCCCTCTCTCTCTCACCCCACCCAACATGGCTTGAGGCAGTTGTGAAACTCGCTTCCACCATGTAGGCTCTGGATCTGAAGCCATTTTTCTTTCTTAACAGTGTGACTTATGTGTGTTATATTTACTCTTTGTAAGCAATGCTAGTGATGTGTGAATGAAACAGAATGTGTGCTGGAGGGACTAGCTAGATCCAGCTTCCATGCTATTAACTCTTTTATATAAACTATAAACCAGGCTTCCTCAACCTCAGCCCTCCAGATGTTTTGAGACTACAATTCCCATCATCCCTGACCACTGGTCCTGCTAGCTAGAAGTCATGGGAGTTGTAGGCCAAAAAGATCTGGAGGGCTGAGGTTGAGGAAGCCTGCTATAAATCAACCAATATTATTATTTTTTCAACAACAACAACAACAACTCAGAATGATATCTAGCATTCTTTATAAGAAAAAGATCCAGCAGTTTCTTCATGTGCTGTGTGAAACCAACTTTGGAACTTGTGTCCAGGTGTGCCTATCAAATTGCTGGACTGGTGCATTGTCTTCCATGCCAAAAAAGCCCAGTTTGTTGCACCTTTTGTGCATCTTGGCAGCTAGTTGCCTAAGTAGCATGTGGCATGGACACACTTGCACACCTTACATAACCTACACTTCACAAAAAGTTCAATTTCTTTTTTTAAAATATTGCAGTTGGTGGAGATATGTTTTTGTGATGTCACAGCATTTCAGCTGGATTTACTATTGTTCAACTGAACCAGGCTGAAACCTGAAAAATAGGGCATTCCCCCAACCAAGGCTGCCCCAGGATATGAAATTATGCATGTTTGGAGGGAAGCAAGAGCTCTAATGAGCCACCTCTGCCATCCTGGAAATGTTACATCTGTTGTCTTCACCCTGATAGAAAGGCAGCACGGTTACGAAACATGTGGTCCATTAACTTCAGTAGCTGCCATTTGCAAAAGCAGTGCCAGCATGATGAATGGAGCTGAGAGTACACAGAAAATAATGATAACTAATGGTCGGGAATGCCTAGGGACTTGTTTCTGTGACTTGATGTCTCCAGGGTGAAAAGACAAGGAGGGTTTGTATAAGACACAAAGTGGAATTTTTGAATCTGTGATGGATGCATTAGCACTTTTAATGGCTTCATTGCTTGCAGTGGTTCTGTGGCTTGTCAGAGTTGACACACAGCCTCCTTCACCAGAGGTGTGCAGAAGCAATTTAATGAAGTCGGCACATGCATGCAGTATCTGTGTGGGTGGCGGGGGGGGGGGGGATTGCTACTGCTGCCAAAAAGATACAATGCTCTATATTTCCCATTAAACAATGTCAGCCGTTCTAAAAAACTAACACAGCAACTAGAAAAATCAACATCCACATTGTACTGACTTTTCTTTTTAATCAGTTCAACAAATCTTTGTCAAACATTTGCAGAGCGTGCCATCAAAATGCCACTCAAAGGTGGGGGAAAGTGTCACTTTAAAAGTAAATGTCATTTTAAAAGCAAATATCATGAAGTAGGGAAAGGCACTAACTTGGTGGCCAAACTGTTGGCTACATGGAGAACGTGCATGAGCAGACATGGCAGTCAGCACAAAATTCTATTGGTGTTCTCATTTACATCAGTTGCAATAAGCAGATGGGCTACAGAGAGCCAGAGTGATATAGCAGCATGTCAGTGTGGAACGTAGAGTATTGGGCTTAGAATATGAAAACCTGGGTTCATATCCAGTGTGGGAACCTGTTCACATTGGATAGACGAGCAAGATAGCATGGAGCAAGAAGAGCAAAAAGTTTGCAAAGTATCTGAAACACCCTGTTTATTCTACATCAGCCAGAACGTGAGGACCTTTGACTGTTCCAGAAATCACCATTATCAGCTGAAGTTCATTTAAGACCAAATACAGTGGTACCTCAGGTTAACTAGTTAATTCGTTCCAGAGGTCCATACTTAACCTGAAACTGTTCTTAACCTGAAGCACCACTTTAGCTCATGGGGGCCTCCTGCTGCCGCCGTGCCGCCGGAGCACGATTTCTGTTCTCATCCTGAAGCAAAGTTCTTAACCTGAAGCACTATTTCTGGGTTAGCAGAGTCTGTAACCTGAAGCGTATGTAACCTGAAGCATATGTAACCTGAGGTACCACTGTATGATTTCATTCTTCTCCACGACCGTTATTCAAAGGCTCAGAGATCTGTGGTGTTTTGAGACTTAGGTCAACTCATAAGGTAAAAAAGAGAGAGAGAGAGAGAGAGAGTCCTGATGGCTCACACAAAATGTCCCTCCAATATTCTGTTTTCACCAAAAATGGCTTGTCAGATGCATCACGAAACACTCTTTTAAAGGTTCCCCTGCCCTCTATTAGACCTAAGCTGGCTCAGCTAGCAGTAGCACCGCTGCTGAACAGAGTTTAGATCTGTGTAATTTTATGCCAGTTTAATTCATTCCGGCTTCTTATGCGTAGGATTGCTCCCCTGGTCTTCCTTTGTTTAAAAAAAAGGGGGGGAAGACTTCCACATTTTAAATTAGTAACTGTGGCATTATGATCTGGAGAAAGACACTTAATTGGGCTGCCTGTGGTTTGTTTTGCATGTGTTTTTTCTTCAGATTTTAATTTTTTTCCTATCTAAATTATGTTGAGTTTAATGGGGAAAGGTTAACATATTTAATTCATAAAAAGCATAATCTAGCCAAAATCCAATATTTTTAAAGACCCACTGATTTTAAAGAGAGTTAAGCATGTGTTTAGCTTTCCCCCATTGAAATCCAAGACAATTAAAATAGTTTAATTTTGGCTGGATTCTGCCCAAATTAAACAGCACACCGCATCAATGGTGGGATGGTGGTTTTTATTGGAAATCCAGATATGTTGTCCATCATATT